TATATTTATAGGGTGCACAGTGGGCTGTGCAGTATGCCGGTGTATCGCATGCAGGGCAGCTAGATAATGTCACAGAATAGCGTAGCGTGCTGGTGCTTGTGATAAGTGGATGTCATGTTTGGCCGAAACGAGAATTATAATTTAAGAGGGAAACGTAATGGTTTAACAGCTAGATACAGTTTATACAGAGAAGGACCCGTAGGTACCAACGAATTCGAATATGTTTAGAGCGTAGATATGCTTGCAAGGCATTGTTTGCCTACCTTCAGTAGCTAATTATAATGGGGGTGCTCTCGTGCAGCAGGGTTAAAGTGCTATTTTAGTTCAATTTATAAATCACATTTTTTGAATCCATATTCGTTATTTGTATTTTAATCAATAAGACTTTATAATTCCAAATTCTTTGATCGCAATAAATTCCTTTTTTATCGACTGTAAATTCAAAGCTTTGCAGTTTATCAAATCTTGTTCCGTAAAATAAATAGATTGAAATTTATGTTCTGACCATTTTGTTGTGAATAAGAAGCGTTTCGTGTATCACGGTTATCATATAATATATTATATGAATATTATAAACAGTAGTTCGCGTGTATTGACTTGTTAGTTCCTACGTCTGCTTAAGGAATGAGAAAGATAAGAATGCACTACCTTGAAAAAGTATCTTCCTCCGTTGTGTTGTGCCGAGTGCCCGAATTAACAGACAGTAAGTCCGAAGCTGCACGCAATCGCAGACCGCGCGCTAGCTCTATCTCTCTTGCTCCTCTACTGAGGATCTATAAAAGAATTTACCAATACTGGCGGACCTAATAAGGATAATGGAAAATGTTGCTCCAAAAGTCCGTTACATAGATACATACATACATACGTACATACATACATAATACAGGTCAAGCTAATAAAAGCGTGTTAATAACCTGTAGCGAGTCCCTATTCATGGCTATGGTATAGTTACTGGGCTATAACATCAGAGACAAAATGCTTTAAAGTTTTTTTGAAATTCTACTACTTAATTATCACTATTATATCATTGTCACCACACTGATCTATAGCTGATTCAGTTAATATGACGTAATACATTTTTAGGGCGTGCTGAATGTCGTTAACTTAATATCGTGGCGCTAAAATGAGAAAACGTAAAATTGCTATTTATAATGCGAAAGTAAATACCTTTCATAAGAAATTTTAGTTTCAAAATTAGATGACACTTCTAAAGTTCCAGTTGGCCCCTTCCAGTATTTATGATAAGTTCTGGCTTGTCAATATTTTTCAGTCTTCATTGTTGTTAGGTACGAAGTTTTGTTAGGAATACTAAGACTGAAACTCAGCACTCAAAAAAACAACTGGAACGAAAATATCTACAACAGTTCATTTAAAAGCCAAATGTTGAGGTACATGCCGTTTTGCATCGTCGATGACTAACCTTAAGTAGATGCAGTAAATTGGATGGTTTTAAAGGGAAAGATATCTAATAGACAAATGAAATAAGCAAACATATGTTTATAGTAGAAACTTACTTACCCTACTAGTTATCCTGTTATGCTAATTATTAACATGTGTCTATAGTACAAATATTTTTTAAGCCCTACTTTAAAATTTTGTGCTGGTGATTGTCTGAGACCTAAAGGAAGTGAGTTGAAAGTATTAATTTATTAACACGTAAAACTTCTATGAAAAAAGCTTGTGGGGCATGAAGGCCTGTCTAGAGATAGCTGATCTCGTTTGTTTAAATTAGGAAGGTTTGATCTAAGATGTATTTTGTTCAGGTATACTGGAGATGTCGAATCACCATTCAAGTCATGTACAAAAATCATGATATGTTGGAGTGCAACTGGAATTTTTAACCCGTTCAAGTCCTGAATTTTTCCAGATATGTGGTCCATTAATAGAACATATATTTTGCATCATTTGAATTTTGTGTTTATATTACTTGAAATGAACCTCTTATTCTATAGTGCATGAACTGGTATGTATGCGTTTTGGACTACAGTATTAACGTGCTCTCCCAAACAAAGCTGCTCGTCAATTTGTAAACGCAACATTTTTAATACGTTACAGAAACTCAATTTAACGCTATTAATGACTATACTGAAATCCTCTTTAATCTTATTTTTGTCATTTTCTGAACAAACGAGAAATGCGGTACATGTAGTTGGATTTAGCTTTAAATAATGTATTTTTGATTGATTGTATACAGGGTGGCTCATCCATGTGTGGACAGAAAAATACTCATAAACAAATATATTTTGGGAAAATCTATTTATGGCATGTTATACATGACATTTGAAGGCAGATTTCTAAAATATTGACAATTATATAGGGTGTCCCAATTTTGACCTACATATCAAAGTTGTGATTTTTTAAATAGAATGCCTCAAATTTTATTACATATTTGGATAAACCAATTCCAAATGAGTAGATCGATATAACATACTATGGGGTTTTGGTAATTAGCTACTGAGCTGTAAGGTGGTTTGTCCAGAACAACCGTCCACTTCGGCAACCCCTCAATCCGCGATTCTGAAATTTGGAGTGCTAACTTTTGTATTAAAAAAAACGTACACACCTCAGTTTTTATCTTATTCGTTATTTTTTCGAATTCTCATTTTTGCTCATACAGGGTGGTCCAAAACGCGAATTTTACTGTTCCTCAAAAATTTCAAATCCATCACCCTGTATATTTGTGCAGGTTTGGATTCAATTTTTATAAGCTCTTTTTTTGTATAAGGTCTGATTCAGATAAAATCACTAGATTTTGAGTTCTTAAGCTTTTAATAGAACGACACTAAGAGTGCAGCTTTGACGTAAGAACTAATAACAATCAGCTTCAAGCGTAATAGAGAAAAGCAACTATAGCAACAACATAAACAAACAACTATCACTACTGAAGACCTAATCTACAAAAATTGCTCGAAAATAACTCCACCATGTTGAATACACAGACATAGTTTTTGGATAAATGACCGCAGCAGATTCCTTAGCATGTGTTCCCTTATGTTCAGAAAAGCATCCTTAATCATTTCCTTCATATTTTCCAGGGTAGATGGTGGTTATCTATAAACCCCTTGCTTAACGTAGCCCCATAGAAAGAAGTCCATCGGTGACATATCTGGTGATCTAGGGTGCCTAGATATAGGCACAACACGACCGATCCAGCGATTGTTAATCCAGGTGTCCAAATAGTTGCGCACATGATTATGATAATACGCAGGTGCGCCGTCATGTTGGAAGTAGATATGCATCCGAGTTTGCAGATTGACATCCTCCAAAAGCAAAGGCAAATGCTCGATCAAAAAATTCAAGTATTCTGTACCTGTTAATCTGTTGTCGAAAAAGAAAGGCCGGATAACTTGTCTGCCAATAACTCCTCCCCAAACATTCAAGACGTGCTAATAACCGGAAAAGTAGCCGTGAAAACCTTTATGTGTCTAGTATCAAAAAAAGACTATAAAAAATTGAATGTTTCTGAAATATTTGAGGAAAACTACAATTTGCGTTTTTGACCACCCTGTATGAGCAAAAATTAAAATTCGAAAACTAACAAATAAGATAAAAGCTGAGGTGTGTACGTTTTTTTTTGATACAAAATTATACACCCCAAATTTCAAAATGGCGGACCGAGCGGTTGCCGAAGTGGGTGGTTCTTCTAGACAAAACATCTTATATCTCGGTAGCTAATTACCAAAACCCCTTAGTATGTGACATCAATTTTCTTCTTTTGAATTGGTTTATCCAAATAAGAAATAAAATTTGAGGCATTGCATTTGAAAAATCATAACTTTGATATGTAGGTAGAAATTGGTACACCCTGTATAATGACCAATATTTCATAAATATGCCCTCAAATAGCATGTATAGCATGCCATAAGTAGATTTTCCCAAAATGTATTTGTTTATGAGTAATATTCCGTCCACACATGGATGGTCCACCCTGTATATCTGAAGTGTATCCAGGGTGTTTTACAACTTATTCGACAAATTTTAACCACATATGCACTGTTACGAAAGAAGTTGATTTGTCAAATTTTTGATATTGTGGAAGAAAGTCCGGGAATAAGCGTAAAACAGTTAGCCCCAACAGGTCCCAGATGTGTCACATGCAACCGCGTGGCGCATATTATAATATTATTTTATCATCTCGATTTCTGTAGGACTTTTATAACATTTTTTTTAGAAATCAGCTTCTTTCGTAACAGTGCATATTTGGTTAGAACTTGTCGGATAAGTTGTGAAATAGCCTGTATATCAAGGATAAAATCGGGCCAAAAATTCAGCCTTGTGGTACTCCAGATATAAAGTTTGAAATAGAAACGTATTATCCAACGAGATCTGTTGTTTGCATACTTCTGCTTCTAACTAGCCGGAATTTGTTGATTGGAGTTTTGCATAATGAAATAGTTGTATGGTAAAGGTACGTATTTAAAATGCAATTTACGATATGAATTTCAACCGAATGAAGTGCTTGGTCAATTAATGCTTTGAGCGTTCATGGTCTACTAATTTCTAATAACCTCCATGATTTACTAATACTAATACCAATATTGCTCAGTTATAATTAATATTTCCAATGAAACGGACCATAATTCCATCCTTTCCACCATAGATATTCCATTTATTCCGCATCAATGACAGCATAGCAACGGCATCGCCGGTGTGATGATTAAAGATAAGGGCCGTGCAACTGAAGCTGGAACTCTCGCTCCTCCGCACTCGCACACAATTCGCAATTCATTACCACCATCGCCGATGCGAATATGATGTATGAAATAACAAATGCGAACTGTACCATTGGAATATGTATATGGAAGATAGGCTATCAAACGTGTTTGCTAAAGCAAGCCATGGACTTGGAAAAGTACAGTACTACGTGTTGGGTCCACTACCAGCGTTATTTAATTCTTACTGATAGTGTCGATGATCAAAAATATATCTCAGAGTATATCAAAAATAAAAAAATGTGTTGAAGACACGATTATTAAAAGTGAAATATTTTGAATTTTTAGTGTACCATCAATAAGTGTGACATCTATCTTCGTAACAAATGCGAAAGACAGTCAAAGAGACTTTCTGTTCAATGTCGACGTTTAGGCAAAAACCTTGGATGGATTTTTCGGGTACTAAAAATTCTAGTAAGCTCGCTCCATTCTCGGAATGTGTGGTTGAAGAGCACACTCCAGGGAACAATATCCATGACATAATCCTCTTCACCAACATCTGCGGGATTAACAGCAACATTGATGCTGTTCACCACTATCTGCGGTCAAGCCACTTCGCCATGGCTTTCTTGAGGAAAACCCCGAGTAAACATCTGAGTGAGCTGAGGAAAACGAGACTCGCAGTACCTTCCCCTGTGACAAGAAAGCTGAACGTTATTACGGCTTGGAGACGCCGGAATCTGGTAAAGTTTATTGCTTCCAAAACACAGTACTATACCATGACTAACAAGAAGCGTCCTGGAGCTCATCCAGTTTAGATGGATGGCCGATGTCTTAAGCCCGCCACTCATGATCCAACGCCGCAGTACGATTTTGTCGAATGCGAATGCTGTACGACTTTATCGAAAATTGAATAAGGACACACATGTAACGATCTTGCAGTATGAGTTTGGGTTTACATTTTGTATTACTAAAAGTAAAAGGAAAAATTCGGAATACCATAACTTTGGCTTGTTTGCTTCCTCTGACCCTGCACCAGATTTACTTGAATTTAACACCAATTGTAATTCCCTTTTGTATGATGTTAGATTATTGATTTTCTTTTTCAAGAGATCTTCGTTTGCGTTGATATTCACCACCTTATATTTGGTAATCCATTGCTTTTTTTCTAGCTGTTTTGTCGTGATAAAGCGGAGATTTTACTTTCCAAAGGCACCCTTTGAAGTTGAGTCAGTAATTTTCAGATAATGATTGTAGAAGGAAGATAAACCAAAATATGTGTGTAAAAATAAAAAAAAAATTAAAAAAATAATTTTACCTTGTTTTATAAAGTATCCTCCCGACAAGTATTTCAGTGTGGACCTGTATTTGATCGTGAGGTCCCCTGTGAGGTCTTAAGTCACCTGATTCACGAGCCCGTTGTACTATATTAACAAAGGCACGAGGGGTTGGTTGCACTCGATTGGGAAACCGATCCGCATAAACATGTGCCATTTTTTATTTCGTTTGAGCCACGCAACAGACACTATTCACACGCGTTACCGACTGACACTGACTGTATGTATAACTGAACTGAATAAAATAATTGTAAAAACATCGTTCCAAATTCTTTCGCTTTTTTGTTTCCGATGCGATGAACCGATAAGGCGGATTATATCCGTTGTTGCCAAACACGAGCACATGATATTATTATTGAGACAGGGTGGTACTCAAACTTCCAAAGGGCTATAACTTTGTTACTTTAATTTTACCAGAAAAATGGTAAAGGAAAAAAACAATTCTTTTGATCAGATCTACTCACTGTTAAAATAAATGACTCAACTTCGAAGTCACCCTGTATAATTCAAAACTCTTTAAAGTCCTCATTGTAAGCCATTTCTATAAATACGTGTAGACAGAGAAATATTAAAGAGTACCAAAAGCTTGTTTTCACGTGTGTTTTGGTGTTTGCCGAACCGAAATCATACAATGAAATTTCGTCGCAACATGGGCCTGCCAAACAGACCCAGCGTCTTCGGCTGACATCCTAACCGTGTCGGAATTCGTTCAACCAGAACTGGTCAGTACGACCACTCCTTTGTCCTAGGATCTTCAGATTGGAGGCATCGGATTAAAGCTGCTTAGGGCAGCCGCGATGCTCCGGTATTTAGGCGTCTGGTTATTCAAGTACTTCGGTATAAAAAAAGACACTGTAGTTGCCCTCCTGTGCAAACTTACACTCTAAAGTCTCCCACAATGTAAACATGGGATGTAAGGCTTATGCTACCCTCAGTGGCCTCGGCTTTTGTCCCACCCAAACTTTTGCTGATAAAATAGCGCTGAGTTGGGGAGTAGTGTATTGTAGTCGACTTCCTTTCTGTCAAAGACCTTTGCCTTAGTTTATACAAAGTCCAGATACAGTCAGAACTAAAATGTTATTTCTATCAAGAACTTGAACAAAAAGTGCACAGAACTGAAATATTGTCATCTTAGCATTTAGTGCTGGTAGCACATTCCGGTAGAATGATTCTGCAGCCGCTGTTACAGCATTCCACTAAATAACTTCAATACGAGCTTCATCGTAGGCGACCTGTTGCACTAACCGTCAGATCCGAGTACATCAATGAATGGGACTCGTATAACATTTAAGCAATTTGTCCGGTACCTTGGAGTCATCATTGACGATGAGTTGATCTGGCAGAAACAAAATCCCAAATTACTTTATGCAGGAATTGAAAATTAAGTATCATTAACAAAACTCGGTTATATAAACTCATCATTAGACCCCTATGCGACCTCTCTCGCCAAGATGGACATGCTGAAACTGCAAGCCATGCATAACAGAACACTACACATAATCACTAATCCCATATGGTACTAACATTATCTTACCAAGATTAGTGACGGAATGAGAAATATACGCCTTGTCTATATCTATACTTAGGCCATACCAGCTTAAGTTTTTGTGAATTGTACAGGGTGGCAAACTAAGAATGCGAGGTACTGTATATGGGCCTGGGCACCTATCCATGGTAGAGGCTTGCGGCGAAAAAGTTCTGACTAAAACGGGCAAGAGAAAAACCTGGAAAACATTTTTAGATACTAAAATGGCCGCTAGGGGGCGTAATTGCAATATCGAATCCAAGAAAGTGATGTTTCTGTCAATCTCGCTATATTAATCTAACAAAAAGATACCTGATTTTTAAAGTCGAGGGTAATGTGAGCTTTGCTTGTTTGAAGATTTTTGCTGTATCTCTAAAGATAAAGTGGTGGGGGGTATTCTGAGGTTTCGTAAGAAACCCCTTGTATCTTTGAAACAGTTGAGCCGATATAACAAACTTGGGCTTGTTGAAAAGAGGTGCTATAAATGTTATATTTGAAGTTTTGTTTCTTTCACTGTCCCGCTAGAGGGCTTTTTCCGTTAATCCAACAGAAATGGCTGAAAGAGTAGCTAAATAATGCCTAAACAGGCTCGCGACAACCGCGTCTCGATAGCTTGGAAATCACTTAAATTTTAATTTTTTAATCTAATTTTTCTGCAATTTAAAATGAAGAGGACGGATTTTAAACAGAAAAGTTTTTAATGCCTCCGTAAATGCTCGAATCGCTGATCATCCCGGTATGTTTCGTATTGCATAGGAATCAGGTTTTTTATTTCTACTCTGGTTGCAGGTTGAGTCTGAAACACGATGTCTTCTAGCCATTCCCGTAAATAAAAATCAAGTCTGGTGATCGTAAAGGCCATACCAGTTGTTTTTTACGGAAACCTAGGAATACCCCCCACCACTTTATTTTAAGGGATGCAGCAAAAATGTCAAACAAAAAAGATTCAGATTATCCTTTGAGATCAGATATTTTTTGTTAGGATAGCGGATTTAACAGAAACATCACTTTTTTAGAATCAAGATTGTAGTTACGCCTCCTAGCGGCCATTTCAGAAACTTGAAAATACTTTCCAGGTTTTACTCTTGGTCGTTTTCGAAATAACTGTTTTGGATAGGTTCCTACATTCAGTACCTCGTACTCTTAGTTGTCCACCCTGACAAGCCCACTCACAAGCTTACTTCTATGGGTTTTCTGTTTGTTTGCTATTCTTGATCTGATATTATCGTTATTTTTGGTTTCAAATGAGACCATTTTCAGAGGTCTTGACATCATTTATCTAACGCGTTAAGTAAAAAACAGGCTCTGTGGCGGAACAGCACAGCAAACCTCTGTTGCGTAAATCGTACAGTTGAGCAGGTTCCCACTTGGCACTTCGATAAAAATTAAATTGTTAAATTCCTACTATGAACTTCCTTACAAAACCAACCAAAATTATTTTGTCGAAATAACAAAATTCTTCGGGTAGTCACATCGCTAAATCATAAGGCTTTTTCCACTTCAACTGCTTTACGTCTCTTCTTTACTTTATTCCTTCGTTCCCTTCTTTCCCTGTCCCAACTTGAATTTGTCTGGAATCGGGGTAACCGGACCTGACAGATTGACATACCGACTAGACTTTTATCTGAGAGCAAAGGTCCAGTGTATCAGTCTGACTAACAACGACTATCAGTACGAGCTTCATTCTGATCACAGTTGGTCCACTTTGTCACCAGCGAATACAAATAATTGGAAGCACTACCCTAAGATTAACTGCATTTTTCGGCTAACCACCTCACGGGTGATCGACGTGAATGGCGGGCTTTAATTCATCTTTTCACAGTCACGGATTTCAGCAGGCTTTGAACGTAATGGTCGGTAAACGCAGGAAATTGAAATGCCCAGTGGCACGATAAGGCCGATGAGATATTTGAAGGGCGACGTTAATGTAGGTAAAGTTGTATAACATACTGGCTGTGCGGCTGCCTCTAATCCTAATCGCTCCATCGGTTGATGGAGGATGCGTAGGAGTATTTGCTTTACATTTAACCTCATACTGCTGTATTATCTTTTATATACACTACTTAAAAAAAATAAGGTGGCAAGAATAAAATCCAAATTTGTCAGTGATTTTTGAAAGGATGTATTTCGGTGAAAAATGATCGTATTTCGACTTTAGAAACAGCATTTTGAAACTTTAAGATTCTAGCTTTTGTGTTTCCTAGCCAATAAATTTTAGGAGTAGGTATACAAAACGTAAAAATATTAGCATTCTCGATTACAGTTCCAAAAATGCCGTCGATTTTCTTAAGCAATGCAAAAAGGAACATCTCTCTTCTCTTTCAAAATCAATACAAAAAAATTTCTCAAAGATTGCAATCAAATCTTATTGGAGATTTTTTTCAGCTTTCGGAAAAAACCGAAATATCTGTGGTCAATGACAAAAGGATACATCTTAACCCAAAGTCAGATGTCTCCACGCCAAATGATCGTATAGAGATTTTAAAATCAGGATATTCAACTACCATATGATGGCCTATTAGAAACATATTTTATTAAGCTCGTGGACTAAAATGGAGAAGGCAACAATTTTTCAAAAAAGATTGCCTTGAAAACCATGATATGGCTTTAAAATGCGATTTTTAAAGTCTAGAAGCGACCATTCTTCACCGAAATACAGCCTGACAAAAATCACTTAAAAATTCGGATTTTTTTTCTTGCTCCCATAATTTTTTTGAGTAGTGTATAATGCATCCCAGACAAAAAATGTTTTATTCAAAAATTGACACTGAATGTGACAAGCTAGAACAACTGCAAAAAGCTGGGTATGAAAGAACAAAGCTGGTCTCAAAAGTCATGAGAATCATACAAATATAATGGGTAGATACATTCAATGCACTCAGTTTACTGATCGTTGGCAGCAATAGCAGATAGCGGACAATTCAGCTAACAGGGTATATTGTAGGTAGCGGCGGTAACAGATAAAGATAGAGACCATCAGAGGTCACAGTATTAGGAAAAACCATGATCCTCAGTAAATAGAAACTGACCATAAATATGTCAATAAGAATCTGTAAGTATAATTTATGAGTTATTTTTGGTTTTATTTATCTTCTTAGTTCATACAAGAAAAGATCCTCTAACAGTAGAAGAAACAGCATAAATGTAAAAACAATAAAAAGGTCCAACGCAGCAAGCAGCAATGTCAAATATTAATGAATATATTATTTTGTCTTTTAAGATATCAAAACAAAGAGCGAAAGAGGTCAACTTCAGACAAAAACAGCTATGTCTTGTTCACAGCATTAGCAGAAACTGCGATATTCGGTAATGGGAAACAAACAAGCGACATGTCAACAAATAAGTGTGTATCTTGTGACTTATTTTTGATTTTATTTATTTATTTAGTACATACAGGAAGGGATTCCCAAACAGAATAAAAAACACATTCATAACACTAAATATAACAGTGAAAGTAATAAAGAAGTACACAACAGCGAAACGCAGGGTCCAGTATTCCTGATTACACTTTATTTTGTCTCTGAGGACTTCAAAGGTTCAAAGCTGTCAGAAAAGAGACCAACTTCAACATAGTTGCCATCATAACCTTTAGGAATCCTCTCTATAAACCGTTGAGAGCCAAGCCCTATTGAGGTCCGTGAAGGTGATATGTTTGAAGCAAGTCTGTCTTCTAGATATGCAAAGACGAACCTTAAACTTGATGGTGTGGTGTAAGGCATAAAAGCAAATGTAAAAAACGACGAAATGTCAGCTTGCTGACTAGACAGCTCCTAGTGTCTAAATAGTTCATCCCGCTTGTGCTCCCTGTAAGCGCTGGAATGTCACCCATAGCGTCATCTATGAACGTATGACTCATCGTTCATGCTGTAAGTGAATCCGCATCATGCTTTGTTGGTTGCAGAATGCCGAGATAGTCTGTAGAGAAAATGTGATAGAAAGAGAATTGGTTGAGTAGCAGAGTAGCATGATCGCATTTAGATGATTGTATGGTGATTGTGCTTATGGAATTGCCATGTGAAAAAAATATTTACTGAATATGCTGCTTATGAAGTATATCTATCAGTTTTGACAGACGGCTTATTTGTCGCGTCACTAAGCACCTATGGACTGCCGTTTTGCCTGTTTATTCAACCTACAGCTTAGTCCTCCAATAATTTATTTATTACTATCCGAACGGTTTATTACACTATTTAACGGGGTACACAGGAATCAATTTTAAGGCCAAATTGTTCTAAAATAAGTTAAAATTGCCAAGTTACTTAACCCACTGTTATGTAAAATCTTTTTAAGCTACGCAAACTATACAAGAACAAATCTACAGCGTCTCGCTCGTTCATAGTTGTTACATACTACAGATATAGGAGAGGAAAGCAACGCATTGGTTCTAGCTACGTTTAAGTAAAAGTATTTTGAATTGGATCGCGTCTTAGCATTAGGTACATGAATAAGAATCTTACCGAGTAAATATTCACAATCTATGGCATTAGTAAGCGTTTTATATAAAAATACACAAGCAGCATACTGCGCTTCTCCAAGTTACAGAGGCTATATCTGCTAAGTAATACATCATGCCTGAAGCCAACTTCTGGATACGTACCATCTTCCTTGTACCACAAATATTTCACGAACCGCCCCTGACTACGTTCAAATTTATTTGAGTGAACTTCATGAACAGGATACCATATTATAGGGTAGAATACAATTTTGGATCGAACAAATGAAATATGTAACGAGATCATGGTATACACATTACTGAAATCCCTATAATTCCTTATAATGAAGCCCAAACTTTTATAGGCCTTGGTAACAAGTACATCAATATGCGAAACAAATATAAGTTTGGTATCAAAGAATATACCTAGGTCATGAAACTCTTCACACATGTTAAGTTGCGAATTATCAGTGTTATATATGAATCTGATTGGAACAAGTTTGCGCGTAATAGACACAGGCCCAATTTCACCAACAACAGTCCGCTATTCTCCACCTATACGGTAACAGACCGTCAGATACAGCGAATGAGCTTCAAGTTCCAATCAACAAATTTTAGCAACCAATAGTTATGAAATGTTGAAAACAAAATACTGTCAAAGTATTTGATGACAACTTGTCATTGAAACATCACCAGATTATTGAATATTAAGAAATTACATATATGTAATTCAGTCAAAATTTTAAGAAATGTTTGATTTTTGAATTAAAATCATGTTTTAATTACTATTGTTGATTTTTTTATTCACGTTTATATTATTTTCTTTAATTGATATGTGATACTGAGTGCTTTTTCCTATAAACCTCTTGCAGATAGCCATTAAGCACCTACTTGATGACAAAAGATATTGCTCGTTTCAAAACATCCATTCATTTACTTGCCGTTCATCAGAACCATTATGGCACCTTAGATTGATATTCCCACAAAACCATTCAGATTTTTTGATATCCATACATCCATAAAGTTGAATATTTTTCGTTGTTCAGGAACAGAACAAACATCCACACTATATTCACAGCGAATAAGGAATTCTCAAATATACGCCATAAAGCTACCACCAAACCTAAAACCTGCAAAAAAACTAAAAATTTGACATATTTTTCTTTTTTCATGAGTACACATTCTATGTTAAATTTATATTAGACATTATTTGAATACAGCTGATTATTGAATTTCAAGGAGTGACACATGTGTGGGATCTGTCAACTCTTGGTACCAGTAACAAAACATATACTCTGAAGGTTTAATTCCATGCTATTCAATGACAACACGGTGACGTATGTGGTTGTCAGCGGCCATTTTGTGAGAGTGCGACAGGGTTGCCAGATTGTGCATTAATATCCCGTTTCACCCTCCTGGTCCCAGTGGAGTAAGTTCCGCCAACTGTTGAAATATACTCTACTATGCTTTATAAGACTATTCGTGACATTTTTCCCAAAATCATTGCACAACACTTGAAAAAATGCAAATGAAAATTTAAAATTATTTCCTTGACGCCGCAATATAGCTCCGTCGGTACCTTGGGTTATACATCTTGACAGTAGGGATGTTCGATACGATCCTATATTTAGAAGTATCAATACATTTCACGAGTATCGTCATCTTTCGATCCGGACTGTGTCAGAAAGAGTGACTGCCATTTGACTGCGACATTACCCTGCCAAATCAGACATATCTTTCATCATTTTCAAAGAAATTGTACAAAATCTTCAAATTTTTGAAGCTAGCGAGTTTCACTTCATACGTTGTTACCAGACATGCCCAAATCATCAGTTGCTGCCGTGATATTCATCCCAACCACTGCATCACCACGGCCTGTATGTTAAATTTGTATTGATAGGGCAGCGGCTATGCTATAAATCATATGTCACAGTGCTTGTACACTGATTGCAGCGGTTAGATGATACCAAAAATATTTTCATAAATAGGAGATCTTTCCCATTCCGGATCGAACAATCTACCAAAGATGCTTATAATCATGATACCTAGTAAATTTTCACGAAAAATTCAAAACCAGCAAATGTAAAGGATTCATTTCGCACCCTCCACCACGGAACGTGATCGTCGTTAGACTGGGCAACCCTGCGAGTGTCAGATAGATATCCCCGCCAGTCAAAAAAGAAAAATAGACAAACAATAAACATTACTAGTTTTTTTGATTTTTGGACAAAAGCCATTATCGGTAAAACATTTTTCATAATTTTTTGTCTATGTCCATAGTAATTGCATTATGCATCAGGGAGATGTAGGGATTGACGCGTCTTACACATATTATCTGTGTTTTAGGATGGAGAGGACATAATGTTTTTATTGCTTTGAAGAAATTCATTAACCCATAAATTAATAAATGATTACTATTATGACGTAAAGGAAGATGAGGAATTGGATGGAATGTATTTTATATTCTATTTTCTTGCAAAATACAGACAAATCCACACTATTCAAGAGGCATGTAATGATAACTTTCAGTTTATTGAAGTTGGTAAATTCAAGAGTGCCATGCATTAACAGACGTCCAAATCTGCTGTCAAATTTAACACTTAGAAAAAACCTATTATTTGCCGCATTCCCATTCGCTGAGGGGGATAACGGATTGTTAAATGTAATCGTATAACATATATCAAAATACATGAAAGTTGCCCTGTTTTTTCTGTTCAAAAGCATCATGTTGGAATCCAAAAGTGGTCTTGTTTATAATACAGTCGAATTTTCACGATTTTATTCAATATTTCAATAGAAATCACTAATATTCAGAGACCTTTGACAGCTTCCGTCAAATTGCATTTCGATAAGGTATTTTCCCATTGGTCCATAATATTAATGTTAGTGAAATTGGCCCATAGTGTAGCATTTATCAACATTAAGGTACAGCTTGTTATGGTGACACCACTTATTTAGGTTGCTCAAGTCGTTTTTCAATACATTACAGTCGTCCATGGTTTCAATTTTACAAAGACTCTTCAAGTCATCTGCATATAGAAGACAGCTACTGTGTAGCTCCCCAACGAAGTCATCAATGAAAATTTGGAAAAACAAAGGGCAAAGAGCGCACCCTTGAGGTATGCCGGAAGAAGGTATAATCTGAGTGGAGGTGTGTTCGACTTTCAAGCATCTGTTTGTAAGATAAGATTTGAAAAAATTCAAGAATTGATGGGTCAACACTCGCGTAGCTAATTTCTTTAACAAAACACCGTGATCTAGCTTATCAAAAGCCTTTGAAAAGTCAACGTAAGCAACATCTACTTGCCCCCCTTAATCAACAACTTGAGAGCAAAACTGTTTAAAACACGCTAGATTAGTCAAAGTAGATCTGCATTGGAACAAATCATGTTGACTTGGAGAAATTTAGTGCTTAACATGGGAGAAAATTATATCATGCAATATATATTCGAAAACCTTACCAGCGTTGCTTATAATCACAACAGCTCTATAATTCTCAACGACACAACGTTCGCCATTTTTAAATATGGGAGCAATCCTTGATGTTTTCCAAGCCATGGGAAATGTTGTAGTATTAAGAGACGTGTTTTACAGATAAGCTAAAGGCTCAGCTCAAACAAAAGCACAGTCTTTCAGTAAAGATGCAGGGATTAGATCTGGAGTAGAAGATACCTTGGGTTAAATCTTTCTCAAAGCGGCAACAGCCTTTTTCTCAGTAATCATTGGTATATTCAAGGGTAATGAGGCGCAGTCAGGTGAGTCTGCGGGTGTAACGTTTGTGGAAGGTGAGTATACTAAATGACATATAAATCCGAACACCCAGTTTAAATGGTTTTATTTTAATAAAATTTTGTATAAGTACTTAATGAAACATAATAAGTAAATGATAAAAATTTCAAAATGATTGCACTGCTTTAAAGCTTTTTGACCTTTAATAATGTGTGGATGCACCCTGATGTGCTACGCATTCTCCAACGCGCCTAGGCATGCTTCTGATCAGGTGGTCAATGTCCTCCTGTGGTATGTCATTCCAGGCAACCACCAACTCCTCTCGAAGTGCTTCTAGAGCCTGAGGAGGACGTTGCAAATTGAGCAATCTCCTACCCATCATATCCCACACGTGCTCAATTGGGGATAAGTCGGGAGATCTTGGTGGCCATGGTAACAATGTGACATCATTATGTTGAAAGGAGTCTTTTGTGACTCTTGCAACATGTGGTCGGGCATTATCTTGTTGGAAAGTTGGATCTGCCAGGGTGTCAAGATAGGGTAAAAGATGGGGTTCTAGAACTTCGTGGATATAACGCTGCGCGTTCATGTTACCTCTGATGAAGATTAAAGGTGACCTGGAACCATAAGCTATAGCACCCCAAACCATAACTCCAACAGTGTGATGAACATGTCTTTCAACAAAAAACTGTGGATTCCTGCTTTCACCACGTCGCCTTCTAACCCTGGCACGACCATCGTGCATGCCTAAACAAAATCGAGACTCGTCACTAAAGACAATACTGTTCCATTCCTGATCCCAGAGTGACCGTTATCTGTACCACTCAAGGCGATTACGTCGGTGTTCTCGAGTTAAATGAAGGACCCAGTGTGGCCGGTACGAAAACAAGCCAAAACTTCTCGTTCGTCGGTAAACACTTCGCATGCCAATAGGTCTTCCGTGTTCTGCAAACCATTCATTTGCAATGGACCTGGTAGCGGAGAAACGGTCCCTTAAGGCCAATAATCTTAGGCGGCGATCTTCACGGTCTGTTGTTCTACGGCGGCGTCCAGTGCCCCTTGCTCTTTGCGTACGGCCTTCTCAAAGCCAGGCCTGACAACACCTAACCACAGTGTCTACACTTCTTTGCACTCTAACTGCAATTGCCCGAAAAGAAGGTCCAGCTTCCCGAAGTCCCACTATACGGCCCCTATCAAACTCACTAAATTGACGAAATCGTACAGGTCTCCGTACTCTAGGCATCGTAACCGATCGTAAAGGATGTCAAGAACCAAAATCCGCCAAGGTTGATTCTTTACTGCGGCTGAAATATTCATTTTTAGAGCGTTAGTGAATTAAAAAAAGCAGTATAAAAACCGGAATGTCCAACTGATAAGGCTGAAAATTTTTTCACTTGTTATTTACAGTAAGATAAATACATTCACCAACTTTTATTAAAATAAAACCATTTAAACTGGATGTTCGGATTTATATGTCACTTAGTATATGTGGACTGGAAAAAATCTGCAAAAGCGTTGACATTATCTTGTGGTTTGTTAGGTTGAATTTTATCAAACATCATGGTATCAGGGATATGAGAAGTATTTTTCAAAGGATCAATAAAACACCAAAATCTTTGAGGGTTAGTAGGTAGGCCCTGTTCAATTTTAGTGGTATACCTTTGAAATGCAATATCAAAGCGTCGCAGTCAACAGGATTATAAGTTATTTTACACTGTTTCCATAATGGCAGTGCTCGGGGTACATTCCGAGTGATTGC